GAGCAATGCCAGGGTGCCGGTTCCCTCCAGTACTGCTGACACAGGATTGTACTCACGCAGACTGTGATGGTGAATGGCAGCAGGAAGACTCCGTATCCGTCTACACCGTACAGCACGGAGAGCTCTGTGTACACGATGCACCATGGACACCGCTGCCATGGAGACAGGAGTGTGTTCTAGAGGCGGGATATAGAATCCAGACCAACGAATGGGGACGGGGTATAGAGTACAGACCAATGAGTGCCCGCCCAGTGTGGGAGGAGTTTTCAAACCATTAGCGGCGGGTAGAGGTGAAACACGGAGAAATCAAGGAAGTAAAATGTGCTGACTCCTCCCCTATCCGGAAACAGCGCGTGACGTCAGAAAATAGCTGGGCCTCGGGGACGGGCAAGTGAGCGTAACCTCCTACGTCATCAACCTGGGACTCTGCTGGCCGGTGTTGTCATAGGAACGGAGCGCAGAGTGAGTGAGGGGTATTGGATTTTCTGAGGGGCCCGTCCTGTATTTTAGGGAGGGGGTATGGGATAGTGAGGGCCCCCTCCTCTTGTATGGGGGTATTCAATTTTGTGAGGGGCTCCTCCTCCTGTGCATGAGGGAAGGAGTATTAGGTTGTGAGGGGCCCCTCCTGTGTATTAGATTTTGTGAGGGGCCCCTTCTGTGTATTGGGGTCTTTGTGTGTCCTCAGGGGCCCCCATATCTGTTCACACAGGCGTCAGTGAGCTGAGTGTCCTCCAAAAGTTGGTTTTATCTCGGCAGCCGTCGTTCAGCTGGGGGTGCAGACTGGCCTGTCTGAGGTACAAGCAGCAGCCATAACAAAGATACTGAAATGTCCCTGTAGCGTGCGGTGATGGAAATATGGAGCAGCAAAGTCACATGAGGAAGGTGGAATGCGATTGTGAGGAGGAGTATCGGTGAACCGTCTCCATGGTAATGATGTAATTTGTCTCCTCCCCCCCTCAGGAACATGGCGGAGGGCAGCTCGCTCGTCTCCCTGGACTATGAGGTGTTTGGGAAGGTGCAGGGGGTTTTCTTCCGCAAGTACACACAGGTAACGTCCGTCCATCCCGCTCATCATTCTCAACGGACGATGACATCATGCATGGAGGGCGTCACATGTTGTCACTCCCATTGTGCTGACGGCTCTTTGTTCCCCCAATTTCAGGCGGAGGGGACACGCCTGGGCCTGGTTGGCTGGGTGCAGAATACAGATGCTGGGACAGTCCGGGGCCAACTTCAAGGGCCCCCAAGCCGAGTACGAGAGATGCGGGAATGGCTGAAGAACAAAGGGAGCCCCAAGTCCAGAATCACAGGGGCCCAATTCCACAACCAGAGAGAAATCCAACAATGTGACTACAGCAACTTCTCTGTCAAAAAATGATGGCTGTGAACCATAGGAATGATCCACCCATATACACAGAGTACCCCCAACATGGGACCGATCCACCCGTGTACACAGAATACCCCCCCGACATGGGAACAAACCACCCTGGTACAAAGAGTACCCCACAGGACCAATCCACCCGTGTACACAGAATATCCCTACACCAGACCCATCCACATATGAATATGTAAAATATGTATATCATCCAACTGTTTTGGGGGATCTGACCTGCAAGATCAATCAATACTCAACACATGAGCTGCATAAACCGCTGTATACACATGTACTGATCACATGTCTGCTGTAACTAGGGAGAAGAGCCCACCCCCTGTATCCAGGAAGAAGAGAGAAGCCTGCCCTCAGGAACCAGGAAGAGGAGAGAAGCCCGCCCTCTGTAACCAGGAAGAAGAGAGAAGCCCGCCCTCTGTAAAAAGGAAGAAGAGAGAAGCCCGCCCTCTGTAACCAGGAAGAAGAGAGAAGCCCGCCCTCTGTAACCAGGAAACCATTTTGATTGAGGGATAAAGAAATCCCACTGAACCAACTGCGGTAAAACTTCTAATGCATTACATTTACTGTCCTCTATTACACCCCATTGCATCGTATATACCTCTGTTACACCCCATCGCATCGTATATACCTCTGTTACACCCCGTCGCATCGTATATACCTCTGTTACACCCCATCACATCGTATATACCTCTATTACACCCCATCGCATGGTATATACCTCTATTACACCCCATCGCGTCGTATATACCTCTGTTACACCCCATCACGTCGTATATACCTCTGTTACACCCCATCGCGTCGTATATACCTCTGTTACACCCCATCACGTCGTATATACCTCTGTTACACCCCATCGCGTCGTATATACCTCTGTTACACCCCATCGCGTCGTATATACCTCTGTTACACCCCATCGCGTCGTATATACCTCTGTTACACCCCATCGCGTCGTATATACCTCTGTTACACCCCATCGCGTCGTATATACCTCTGTTACACCCCATCGCGTCGTATATACCTCTGTTACACCCCATCGCGTCGTATATACCTCTATTACACCCTGTCGCATCATATATACCTCTGTTACACCCCATCGCGTCGTATATACCTCTATTACACCCTGTCGCATCATATATACCTCTGTTACACCCCGTTGCATTATATATACCTCTGTTACACCCCATCAAATTGTATATACCTCCGTTACACCCCTTTGCATGTTATATACCTCCGTTACACCCCATCGCATTGTACACTGGAATATAATAATCCGGCCACTCGGTGTATATAATAATCCGGCCACTCAGTGTATATACCTCTATTACACCCCACCACATCGTATATATACCCCGTTACACCCTATTTTTGATCCGTCAGGTATCCGTATGTATTTGAATGGATGACCGTGAAGTCATTTTGCCCTTGTACTTTTCTTTCTAGAATGATCCGGAGTTTGCCTGAGGATGTCAGATGTAGATTGCGCTCAGGAATTGCCATTACAGGAGTCAGTCAGTGTGTGGAGGAACTTCTTCTGAACAGTGCTGATGCTCGGGCAACGTGCATTGCCGTACGGGTTGACCTTGAGATCTTCAGGGTTCAGGTGGTAGATAATGGCTGCGGTCTGAGCCCAGAGGACATGGAAAGGGTGGGGATGAGATATTTCACCAGCAAGTGCCATTCCCTGAAAGATTTAGAAGACTTGCGATGTTTTGGGTTTCGTGGAGAAGCGATGGCCAGCATGGCCGACGTGTGCAGCGTGGTGGAGATCTCCTCCAAGCACAAACCTTCCGGAAAAACTTTCACCAAACTCTTCCAGAACAGGAAGCCAGTTCCGGTGCAGCATGCTGAGACGACTCGCCCCAGCGTTGGTACCACCGTGACACTGTATAACCTCTTCTATAACCTGCCCGTGCGGAGGGGATGTGTAGACCCCGTCCCGGAACTAGAAAGGATTCGCCAAAAAGTAGAAGCAGTTTCTCTGATGAAACCAGACATCTCCTTTTCTCTGAAGAACGATGCTCTGCACTCTATGGTTCTGAAACTGCCTAAAACCCGGGACGTGTGTTCACGCTTCTGCCAGATCTATGGGCCGGTAAAATCCCAGCACCTTCGGGAGATCCGGCACACACAGGACAGGTGTGAGATGGTTGGCTTCATCAGCTCTGAAGGACACTACAACAAAGCTATGCAGTTCCTGCATGTCAACAGTCGGCTGGTGCTAAAAACACGATTACACAAACTCATTGACCTTCTTTTGAAAAAAGAGAGTGTGATATGCCGGCCAAAAGCCGGCCAAGCGGGACACACAAGCGGCAGCCCTGGCTTCCACCGGACAAGCGCGGAGCTGCACGGCATTTTTGTACTCAATATCCAGTGCCCATACCAGGAGTATGACATCTGCTTTGAGCCTGATAAAACGCTGATTGAATTCCAGGACTGGAGCTCTGTGCTTGCGTTTGTGGAGCAGGGGCTGAAGAATTTCCTGAAGAAAGAGAACCTGTATTTAGAACCTTCGAAAGAAGATGTCACTGAATTTAATCGGAAGCATCACCTCAGTTTACCAAGCCGTGAATTGTCACCAGACGGCATTTCAGAGCCAGCGACTTCCACCAGCAAGTCGGCATTGGAAAACTCGGACCCGGCCAGCCTGCGATCAAAGTCAGTATGTCGGAGGAAGGTGATTTCACTGCATGTGATGGACGATTCTGCGGTTGTGGATAAAACTGACATGAAGACGGCCAGCAGAGAAAATATTTCACTGACCTCACAGACCGTCACCGCGGAGAGATTCGACTGTTCAAAGTTGAATTCTGATTTGACACCTTGCAGGACAGGAGGGCTGAACCTTGTGGCCGATAGAGAAGAAGACATGAAGCGGTGGTCTGGGCAGCAAAACCAACTCTGTAACGGTGATGTCACAGCTGGCTGCTCCAGATTGGACTCCTGTAATAATGACCAGGAGCTTGTCACCTCCAGGAGCTCTCTGGCACATCATCCAGGACAATGCACTCCTTCCAACAAAAGTCTTAATGCAGAACTGAAGGCAGAAGACCTCAACAGCTCAAAGCCTTCATCGTGGTATATGCACTCTTCTGGGGGTGACCCTGGCCATCCCTCTGCTGTCGCCTACAGGCCTTGTTCTCTGGATTCAGTACACAGTGCGGTTGGGGAGAAGCAGCCAAATGAAACTATTCCTTACCGCGCTGACAGACTTTCAGTCATTTCAGAAAGAATGAGAGCTCTGGGAACAGATCATCCCACCGGTATGACAATTTATGAAATGGCCACCATACCTCCAGAGCTCACAAAGAGGACCAAACCACTGACGCTGCATCTGCCGCTGGGGGTAGGATCTCTGGATAAATTCAAAAGATCGTATGGAAAGAAAGAGACCGGTGCCCTGGGACCGCAGCTCCCCTATGAAACAGAGCTTGCCAGGGCAGAAGCTTCATGTCCTTCAATGGACCGCATACAGCCAGCATTACCAGAGACCGTGTTACACACAGAGGGGGAGAAGACGATGGTGCGTGCCAGTCCTTTGACATCCAGCTACGCCAGTTTAAGGGTAAAGGAGCCAGAAACTGCGAAACCTCACAGCTCGCTATCAACTAAGTTGTGCCGGCTGAAAAGGGACACGGACCTGGCCTCTTTCCCACTGGAAATCCGATCTGGGGAATTGCAGCTAAAAAATGACGCCGACCACTCAACGGCAGACCCCCCTCAGAGCACAGCACCCTCCAGCGACATTCAGACACATGAAAATGTCAATATGGATGCAGTGAGCTTGGACTGTCAGCCAGAAAGAGAAGAACCAGAGCCAAGGCCGCCAGAGACGGGAACACACGTGGAAGAGAAAGAGGCAAAGAATGTATCCCCGGAATGGCTGCAGCACTACGAGCAAACTCTGGGGAGGAATGTCTTCATCAACACCTGCACTGGACTCAGTACTTACAGCGCCCCGCAGGAAGACCAAACCGCGGCCTGCACCAAAGATTTATCCACCATGTCTGTGAGGGTGGTCTGCGGTAACGGTACGTATAATCCACGTGTGGGTGCACGTTCCAGAGGGGCCGCAGTCTGCCATCTCACTTCATTTACTGCCATGTGGGCTGTAGTCTTAAAGGATAGCTAAAACCAAGAACAGAAGAAGTGCAGCTTCCCCATCCTGGTGGCTGCATTCCTTGCTGGCAAAGTCCAGAAAACACCTTGAGATCATTCCAGAAATCCAGTGTCTGTGTAACTTCCTGTGAGATGAACTGAAATCACTGAAATCACTCCCTTCCTACAATGCTATTTCTCCATAAAGTACAGTGGGTGAACGTTGTCACCATTGGACAGGAAGGGTGTTACTGGCAGGATCACCAGGTAAAAATTAAGGGTAAAAAATAGAAAACTAACACAGACACATATCTGAGGAAGGGTCAGCTGTCGTGTTTTTTGGGGTTTTGATATATTTTACGCCATAGACATCACACATCGGTTAAATGTGCTGACACAAACGCATTCCCTTACAGTTTTCAAAAGTCACACTGTGGCTCCTCCTGTCTTGGTGCATTGCCCATACAGATTGCAGAAATACCCCGAGCTCTGCCCAGGGAGGAATCAGACTGACCAATATAACAGCTGGAGATTGTTTCCCTTCCTCTAGGCTTCCAGTACCAATGTCATCCCTTTAGAAGTGAGCTGCTAGTGCCATTCTTACCGAGACCCAGTACAGAGAGAGGCCTACCCAGCCAGAGAGGTACAGACTAACCCCTTACATCCCCCCAATACAGAGAACAGAGACTAACACCCTCAACCACCCC